CCCATCATTCCTTTCCATCTAGTGACATTTAAAGCTGAATGCTAGCATGGTTAGCAAATATCAAAGAAACATTTCATTTCTTTCATTTAATATTTTATTGTGAATCTTTTTCCATAGGTCCAGATTTGAACCCTTAGGTATTCTACACCTCCCTATTCCCAACTTAAATTAAAGGTAAGGGCCCTTGCAGTACTTCTGTGCCGCAGCAAGCTGAGTCCATATTCTAGACACAATTCCAGGGTTCTACAATGTTTTCTTAAAACTTTAGCATTGTCAAATTATGAATTTTATAGCTCTTCTTAGTCCTTTTATTTCCTCTTTATTTTTCCACTCTTTTTCAAAGTATGTGTTACTACAGAACACACTCTATTGCAAGTCTCCACATTCCCCTCTCATTTCATCTGTTCTGAATGTCATTCCATAATCATTGTTACAAAGGATTTTGAAATGTAGGGAGGTTGAATTATTTGTTCCTAACCACAAAACACTAAATCAGTTCAGTCATACAGCAAGAATCTAGTTGTCTGTCTCTAAAGTTGTAGGCACTTAGTATCAAAAGCTGTGTTTAGTTATTTCTGTTGTCAGTTTTCTTCTTTCCTCTTCCTGCTCTTGAAAACTACCTCTGTTCAAGGATTTGTCAAGTCAAGGGCTAGTCAGGTTACTATGGTGTTGGAAGTATAGGTACCTAAAATCCCAAGTGAAAAAAATGGCTCAGAGAAACAAGGAGAGACTTGGAATTGCTTTCTTGCTTCTTTTCTGTAATTTCTTTGAAGAGACTGAGTTTCACAGAACCGCATGACAGCATGAGTAGCTACAACTCTTAAGCCCTATCTCTCTAAAAAGTAGAAGACCCCGGGCTGGAGGCATGGGTACTTGAGTGAGGGAAATCCTAGAGCACTGAGACCTTGAAAAGAGTCTCTTAACTTTGTATCTGATGTAACGCAAGTTCCAGGCTCACCGCTGAGTGATGAGCTCATCACTCATACACAGAACAGCAATTGATAAACACAAACTGAGGTAGAAACCATTTCCAAAATCCTAGGCTAATAATAATCCCTGAGAGATCAGACTTGTAGTATGACAAACTCTTTGAAAACTGACTTGGAACTTCTTGCAGAAAGTGAGACAGAACTGCTTCAGTCCAATTAGGATGATTACCTGCCTTTGCTTTTTAAAAAATGCACAAGATTTTAACAGGGTATAAAGGCTCATGACAGTAATACTGAAAATATCCAAGATACAATCCAAAAGTACTTGATGCACAAAGAGCCAGTAATTATTTGATATACAAAAGGTCAAAAAATGGGGCTGGGGAGATAGCTCAGTGGAATAAGCGCTTTCCTGGCAAGCGCAAGGGCCTGAGTTCAATCCCCCAAGGGCCTGAGTTCAATCCCCGGTTCCGAAAAAAAAAAAAAAAAGTCATCAAAAGGTCAAAAAAAAAAGTGACCATTTCTCAAGGGAAAAGACAAATGATACCAATACTAAGATAGCCAAAATGTTGAAATTATCAAAGACTTAAGTAGCTGTGCTTCATGAGGCAGTGTGGTGCTTAGTCTTGATTGTCATCTTCCTGGATTAAACACCCAGGAGATTAGTGAGTGCACTTGAGTATGTGTCTGTGGGTATTTTCAGTAGCCAAGAAACAGAGACAGGAAAAGAGCACATGCTGACCGGATTCCACCTGTTTTTCTTTTATCCAGGCCCCTTATTCAGGCCCCTGTCATATTGGATGGTGCCACCCAAATGCTTATAGACTTCTTGTCCCACATGCCAACTTCATTGTTTGTGTTAGCTTTCCTTCACTGTCACAGAATCCCTGAGAAAATCATCTTAAAGCAGAAAACACTCATTTTGGCTCACAGTTTCACAGGGTTCACTCTGGCCAGCTGGCTCCAGGGTACTGGGCTGGCAGTGAGGCAGTGCATTCTGGCCGACTGTGGTGAACCAGAGCTTCTTGCTTCACAGCAGTTAGCACACAGCCACATAGGAGGAGCCAGGGGCAAAATAATGGCTCTGGAGACTATGTCCCTGACTTCAGTGAGGCTACACCTCCCAGGTTTCCAGAACTTCTCCACTCAAGAAAAGGCATCTTAAAAATAAAAAATTCTTGAAAAACAACAAAGTAATTCTCTTGATTGCAATACCTACTGTAAAAGCACAGTAAAAAGATAGCATGATGTTGGCAAAAGGATAGGAACATCTCTGTGGAAATTGATCCACACAAATATATCAGTTTTTTACAAAAGTGGATCAGGAATTAGTTCAGTGTACAGAGCCTACCACAAGGGCAAGGCGCTAGGTTCAAAAACAAAAGGGGCTAGTGAGATAGCTCTGGTCTAAAGCGCCTGCTTAGGCAAGTGTGCAGGGACCTTGGTTCAATCCCCAGCACCACATGCCAAAACAGCCCCACGCTCAGGGTGGGCTGAGCCAGCCACAAAAATAAATTAAGAAACAAAGGGAAGGAACAAGAGAGAGAAAGAATGAGTTCCTTCAACAAAGAGGAACTGGTTTGTTTTTTTTTTTTTTTTCCAGAACTGGGGATTGAACTCAGACTCTTGCGCTTGCCAGGGAACTGCTTATTCTACTGAGCCATCTCCCAAGCCCCAGGAACTATTTCTTAACATACACTTAGCACATGACCAAGTAATCTCATTCCTAGATGTTTTACCCAATTGAAATGACATATTCACAGAAAATCCTGTACATGAATATTAGTGTACTAATTGTTCCTAAACTGGAAACAATCCTAATTTATTGAATGGATAAAAGAAACTGCTACCTTCATACAGTGAAATATTATTCAGCAATTAAAAATGAGCTTATAATACACACTTGTACGTATCTCAAACACATCATAATGAATGAAGGAAAACGGACTCCAAAAGTTCCTTACTGTGAATCCATATATATGACATTTCTGGAAAAGGCAGACTATAAGTATGGCAAAGTGGTGGTTTGGGGGGATGAAGATTGACTACCAAGGAAGAACATGAGAGAATGTTATGCATACTGATTTTGGTGTTGATTTTCAAATTAAGTCCACACCTCTTATTATTAACAAAAGCTCCTAAGGTGCTATAACTTGTCAGCATTAAGAATTTAAAGTGTTAGGGACATATTGCTGAGATCTCATGTGGGAAAGTCTGGACTAACCTCATTAGAGAGCAGGTGAGGAGTGGTTTGGCCCTCTCAGCTGACAACCAGCACTAGATGTCACCTGGCCTCACTAGAATGGACCAGCCCCAGTCAAGTCACTGAGTGCTTGAAGACTTGTGAAATGGCACCAAATGAGACTAAAGCTGCCTGACTAAATCTGATCAAACTTGCCGACTCATAGAATCATAAACATAAAAAGGTTGTTGATTCAACCTCTTATGTTTTGGGGTGGTTTGTTATACAATATGACTATTAGGGGATTTTGTTGTTGTTGTTTGGTTGGTTTGGTTTTGTTTGGCCCATACTTTTTCTGATGTGGCAGTGCCAGTTCTAAACTTAGCTCTTAGGACTGTTTTGTCCCCATAGATTATGGTATATAGAACTGTCATTGTCATTACATTCTAGGAATTGTCTAGTTTCTTCCTTGTCTTCTATGACCAACTGGTTATTCAAGAGAGTATTTTTTTTTTTTTTGTAGCCAGCTCAGTCTACCCTGGGTACTGGGCATGTGCAGCAAAAGTGGTGGCAAGGATTGAACCTCAGTCCCTGCGCTTGCCCAAGCTTTCCTAAGCAGGCTCTTTAGTACACTGAGGTATTGCGCTGGCCCCAAGAGTATTCTTTAATTACTGCCTTTTTATAATATTTGTTACCTTGAAGTCATATAAAAACAAAAACAATCCAATCCCAACACACCATATAGAAGGAGATAATAAAGACCAGAGCAGAAATTGATGAAATTGAGACTTAAAATATGCAAAGAATTAATAAATAGGTGGTTCTTCAAATTAATAAGCAAAATACACAAACCCTTAGCCAGTCTTGCCAAAACAAGGAAAGAAAAGACCAAATTCAATGCAATTAGAAATAAATGAAAGCTCACAGTGGACATACCAAAAATCCAGATGATTTTTAAAACCAGAAACCAATAAACGGGAATCCAGGAAAATGGATACATACAAATTACCAAAGCTGAATGGAGAAGATATACAAACCCTGAACAATCTGATAACAGGCAGTAATAATATAACAGTAACAACTAACCAACTCAGAATAGCCCTGAACTCAATGGATTCACTACTGAATTTTATAGGAACTTCCGTGAAGATTGATACCAGCACTCCTCAGATTCTTTAATGAAATCAAAAGAGAATGAATATCCCAATCTAATGGAAGCTGATTGATTCCAAAATCAGACAAAACAACTAAAAATGAAAACTACAGCCCAGTCTCTTTAATAAACATAAATGGAAAAAAATCCTCAACAAGATACTAGCAAATAACGCAGGAAATCATCACAAAGCTCATTCAACCAAGAAGGCTTTATCCCACAGATGCAAAGATGGTTCAGTATACCCACATCAATAAACATAATACATCACATAAACAGAAGCAAGGGCAAAA